GACAGATTCTGAACAAAGCAAAGAACTTGGAGCAGTGCCTGATCCTTTGCAAATGCTTCAGGAATGCTCAAGTTGACACAACATCTCGATTATCTAGATCCTTGCTGGTAAAGTCAGCATTGGGAGATGCAACCTGGCAACTGCTTCCATAGGGGCTCCAGCCACAGCCATCGAAAACTCAGAGAGGAAAAATCTTACTACCCAAGTCCTTAGTGCTGTCAAATGGTTCAACATTGGAAACTGATGGGATGTTATTGGTGAAAAGGACATCAAAGAAGAGGCATCACCAGCTGCTTTGGCACGTCATCCCAAAGACCGTGGGACCTCTCCGTCTCATTTGCAGCTGAACCCTCCCATTGCCTCCCCCATTAAAATGAGACCTCCACAAGACCAGGGGTGCCTTACTCTTCTGTCTGTGTCCCCAGCACTTAGCACAGTATTTTGGACACAGTAAGTGCTTGATGAAGGCTTTATTCATCCGTAAAGGGGAAAGTCTCTTTATAGGACAGTTTCCCCAAAACATTTTACGTGAGACATTTCCTCAAGGTAGACTGTGAATCTCTAATCCTCAACACTAATCTCTTATTATCACGCACTTTTATGGGACACATTTGTGTCAGGAATGTAATTAGATGTGAAAACAAGTGTCACCTTTGGAATGAATAGCAATGTTCGGCTACAGATAATTTTTTTCATTTTATTCCATCCAAATTTAGGCAATGTGATACTTCAAAGAAAAACAAGACTGGATGAAAATTGTAGGCAATGAGGTCAAGTTCACTCATTTCTAGAATCTGCATTTTATACACTCTTTCAAATTCTAATAGATAATCAGAGTATACATGCATAATTATGAGTTCCAAATTAAAATGCACCCAATTTAAAAAAAAAAACACGAGGACTTCAAAGATCTTCCAGAAAATCATATTGCCCATATCAACTCAAAAAACAGGAAACACATTAAAAATTTTTTTTCTAATTCAATTCCTCTCATACCCTTATGACCATGAATGGAAAGTTTTCTTCTAGTTTACATTCCTTATCCCTTGTCCTGGGGAAATTGAATCTGAAGATACACTTTTCATTGAGAAGACTTCCAAAGTCAAGAAAGAACCCCAAGGGCAGGAGAAAGAGAAATGGGTGCAAGACAGACACTGATCCCCACAACATCAACAAATTCTATGCTTAGAGTCCATTCCCTGTAGGATAGGAGAGAAGGCAGAATACAAGTTACAAGTTATAGGTTATAAGAGGACTCATCAAAGGTGAGCTTCTTTTGGTATCTTCTGGGAAATGTGCACTAAACAGATTATTCATCAATGTCCTAGGGACCAATAATCTATCTTGAACAAATGCTCTCTCCTCTTCTTGTTGGGATTCCCTCTTAAGTCTGAAAAGTCTAGACATTCATTTTCTTCCTCCTCAAATGTTTTTGTCTTCTTTATGTCCATAAACATGGACCTTTGGGAATGGGCTTACAGTTAAAGAGAGTGGAGGCCTGGAGGCAACTAAGCCTCTGTAGGACTCCACCCAGACTCAGAAAAATGATGAAGGTGAAGAATAATGATAAATGGTTGTTTTTTGTCCTTCATTCTCAAAGGGGATTATGATATTAGGAAGGTGATGCCATGACTTGCAAGTGAATTGGCTCAAAATGAGGGAGGGTTGTACAAAGTCACCAGCCTCACTTTCTCTTCTGCAACCATCTGGGTCTAGTGGCAAGATGTAGATCAAGATATGGCCTGCAGGTAGAGTGGTATGGAAATGGGGAATACCTTGACTTCCAGCCCTCATCACTAGAATCAGAAGCCTGCCTAACTTTCCCTTCTGACACAGGCTAATTGGGCTGAATGACTTTCAAAAGGGCTTCAGTGACACAGGCTTAGTGATGTCCATGTTGGAAACTTACTTTCAACAGCTTTATGGGCTGATGTCCATGTTGGAAACTTACTTTCAACAGCTTTATGGGCTGCCCCTTTAGGGGTTTAAGAAAAATGCATCGCATTGAATTTATAATAAAAAGAGGAGAATTATTTTCTGGATTATTTTAAATAAGTCATTTAGAGATCAGGGGCTATTTTTTGCTTTCCTTGTATTACTAGAACCTAGTCCAGCTCCTGGTATATAATAAATACTTTCCTTCTCTCTTCCCTTCTTCAGTCATAGCTACCCCTAAACTATGCTGGATAGAAAACATTATATTCTGTGTCTAAAGACAACTAGAGAAGACGATCATAAGAATTATATTATTCTTATTATATAAGAAGATACAGTCTCCCTCAAACATTTAACCTAACACCAAATAGCCCAACTATCTGAAAAGTTTTTCTTATGACTATAAGAAAACTCCTTTAATATAGCTGCTAAAATACATTTCTTCATCTTTAGTCTGCAAGGCAGATCATCTTCTGAGCACCAAAAACAAAACAAAAAAATCCACACTCTTTATTCAACAGTCCTTCAGCATCTTCTTTTTGAGATTGGATAATCCTAAATGCCTGTAGTTTGCTTTCAAAACTTTTATTTTCTAATACTTCAGTATTTTCAAGAACTTCCAAGCCTTCCACATCTCTGTAGTCAATGACAATGGGGCGTGGCACTTCAAGAAAGTCAGAATCATAGATTCTGTGTGGAAAATGATTTACTATATTGTTTTGGGGGAATTATTATACTGTTTAAATTCAACACTATGTGATTAAAAGTTGTCTGCACTCAGAATGTCTACTGACCCCAGTAACTTTCTAGAAATGCTGGAGATGGCTACAAGGTACTTTGGGTTCCCCTGGGTCCTGTATCTACCCAAAGCATTCTTGTTCTGGGTCCTCACAAGCTTATGTTTGGGTTCCTTTGTGCTTTAGTTTTGCCCAAATTTTATTGGATGTTAACGTTACTCATACCTATCTCAATCAACCTTGCTTTCAAGTTGCCCTCTTGACAAATTGCTTAACTATGTACATGTGTTTCACATGGGGGCACCCTTGTCTAAATCCTTTATAATGTAAACCTTCTGGAACTTGGACAAAAAGCCCACACTCTCCACTACCAAATGACCTAATAAATTTCTTTATAAAACTATTTCAGGTTTTGAGATTTATTCTCATGAATAACAATTCAAATCTTTAAGGGACCTTAAGGGGATATCTAGTCCATCCCCTACCTCACCCCACCCCCAGTTTTACAAATAAGAAAGAAAGATCCATGAGAAGGAAATAACTTGTCCAAGGTCACATCCTCTTCTCTACATCCTGGCTTCCCTGGTTCCCTTCAAGTCCCAATTAAAAATCCTTCCTTCTATAGGAAGCCTATAGAAGGGAATGGAAATGGGAAAATCCCCCTTGAAGCTACTGCCTTTCCTTTGTTGATTATCTACAATTTAATCCTGTATGCAGTGGGTCTGTACATAGTCATCTGCATGGCGTTTCCCACATTAGACTATGAGTTCTTTAAGAAGAAGGTCTTTGTTTTTCTTTTCTTTTTTTTTTTGCCTTTCTTTGCATCCTCCACGCTTAGCACAGTGCCTGCCATACAGTAGGTGATTAATAAATATTTATAGACCAAAAGACCGAGGTAGTAAGAAGCAGAGTTGTGATCCCTATCCCAGTGTTCTTTCCAGAGATAGGGACCTGTGATTTCCTTGGTGCAGGGAACTCTCAGTATAGAAGTTTCCTCTACAAATGTTGCTGAGTTCCACAGCTTAGAGCCTGAACCACAACGCTCTCCTCACCTTGCCTCTTAGAATCTCTGGCTTCTTTCACATCTCACCTCAAACACCACCTTCTGCAGGAGATCTTTCCCAGGCCTCCCCACTCCCTTGGCCCCCCACTTTCCATCAGTGCTTGCTTTTCTCCTAAGGTTACCTTCCACATACCTTATGTATCTCTTATACACCTATTTCTTTATATGGTATTTCTCCTATTAGAATGTAAGCTCCTGAGTGTCAGGGAATGTTGTGTTTTAATTTTAGCTTTTAACTTTTTCCTTTGTATTCTCCACTGTGCAGCACATAGTAGGACCTTAATAAGTGCTCGTTGATTGAGTTGCCTGGGGCACTGAGAGGTTAAGTTACATTTGCAATTATATAGTTAAGTGTAAGTCAGAAGTAAGCCTTTTGGATCCCACTATTATTCACAACACTGATTCACTTTCTAATTTGCTACACAATATGAGAGAGCTCCTTCACTAAGCCAACAGCACACATGCTATTTTGTTTTGGGTTTTTAAAATTTCATTTAATTTACATTATATATTATGTTATATTCTATTATATATTCTATTGTATGTTATTCTTACTTTATTTTATTTTTGTTGTGCAGATTACACAATTGATGGCAGAGATAAGGAATAAATTAGCACATAAAAAATGTAAATCCATCCAAAACTAAAATGGGAAGAATGTACTTCTTTAGAATTCAAAAATGCTCAATTAATAACACTGGCTTGACAGAACTGATTTTCCAGGTATAACTTCTTGTTAAAGACAACCGAAGTGGGAAAAAATATTCAGTGAGAAAAGCAGTCCTGGAATTGGAGAGGGCCAGCAGTCAATCAGGTAAGTCAAATTTGATGAGACTTCATAATTGATTTACTAGCTGAAAAGAGTTGAATCAATAGATGAAGTTGACATTTAAATCTTCTGAAGTGGATAAATCAAAAACATAGTTGAGGGAACTTTTATCCACTGAATTCCCTCCATTAATGTTTTTTTTTAACTTGCTTCCATTTTTCAGTGCCAAATAGCTTTCAATGCATTTTTAAAATAATAGAGCCTCACTAGAGTATTTCTAATACCAAAAAGACCAACATAACTCAAATTCTTCTACCATATGGGCAGGAATCTATACCTCCCTCTATTAGAAGTATAAAACAACAACAACAACAAAAACCCTACTACGTACAATCTTTTTTTAAATACTTTAAAAATGGAAACATAATAGCATTACTTCTAAATATTGTTTATAATATTAACAGAAAAGGCATTTTTGAATAATGATGCTATTTACCTTCTGGACATTGGCAGCTGAATCCACTGAGATTTGAAACGCATGTCGCTCATTTTTGCATGGTTCTAAAATGCAGTAATCCACCATGGTCTGGCAAAGCTCACCGGTGTAACCTGAAACACGGTGTCAATTTTTCACATTAGAAAAACAAGCTAATTTCCCCCCCAAAACATGACATTGTTATTGACACACTCACATTAGCTTCCACTCTTTTCGATAAAATGACACTACTATCCTAAAACAAAAATTTTGGGGTCTCTTTATACATCATTTTGAATGATCTGAATGGTTTCTTCATTTGTAAAGTGTGTTTGGAAGAGGGGAGGAAGGTGAACCACATTGTTTCTGGCATTCCTTCCATGTCTAATAATCTAAGCAGCATGATACAATGGAAAGAACCCAGGTCCTAGAATCAGAAGCCCTGGCTTTAAGCTCAGAGAGGATGTGATCATGGCCAAGTCATTTAATTTCTTTGTGCCTCAGTTTCCTCAAGGGCCTTAAAAGTTTGTCACAACAAATGCCATCACAAACAAAATCTACTGATTTGCTTATTGTTAGAAATTGTCTATAGTATGTGTGTAACCTTATAGTACAAATTACATAAACTGTATGTTCTGGCCCTACTCTTTCAGGGACAGATAGGCCTGCTACATTGACCTTCAAGATTTTAGAGGTTGGAATGTATCTGCTATCTATCAGCTTGAGCCCCCATCGGTGATGTTCCACCATTTTGTTTGGGGGCCTATGGACTAGGGTTCCGGTTCTCTTTAACTACTTAACATGAATTAGATTTTACAAAAGGATATTTACTTCGAAGATATAACAAGAGTATAAAAATACTCCTTTCCTCTTCCTCCTTGGGGCATACTCTCCTCCTTGGTCTCTGAGAAGGTAGGCTCAATTTGGCTCAGTTTCTGCATAGTATCATTCTCACCAAGTTCACAACCAGAGGCTATATTGTAGCAGGATGAATCCTTGTCTCAACTATTACTAGATGTAGGACCCAGAGATCCCTCCTTAAGGTCATTCCTTACTCTTTGAAGCATCATTGCTATGTCAACTGCAAACCTGGACTCTGGAATGAAAGGATGTTGAGGATCCCTCTGGACTTTTCAAACTCACAAGTTTATGGACTCCACTCCTTTTCACTAGCTGCCAAATTCTCTCAAGAGTGCCAAAGCAAAGAGGAGGAGCCTGAATCTGAAAGGCCTTTTTGAATGACTTCACAATCAGTTAAGGGGCCTTCTCTTCATCACATGGTTAGCTGACTGGAACCGCTTACAGAATGTCTACACTTGCTCCAGGCTCACCAAGACATTTTTCTTTCACATCATCACAGTTCCCCTGGAAGCCGCTCCCTGGTATCCTCTGCATGGAGGGACGCCATCTCAGGGGATCTATATACGTGCCGGACAAATATCATACTAATCACTCTCCAAAGACTCGTGGGATCAAAAATATCTGGGAGGAGACCTTCTAGAAAATTCAGTTCAATTCCAATGTTTTAGAGACAAAAAATGGAGGCACGCATCCCATCAAGCACTAAGTTATCAATCAACACCCACATGCCAGACCACAAACTCAACTCAAATAATTCTCTGTGAAGCAGGCTTACCATTGTCATGTTGACTGATAGTAATATTTTAATTTTGCAGGAAGGCATGATATGCAGGGATTGAAATCTCTCTTAGCACCTGCAGAAGCACAAAGGGCTTCCAATGAAATTCAGATTTATTGTGAATTTGGCAACACAGCGCTCCTGGGGGACTTTCAATAAGACTAGCCGTTCTGAATTGTTTGTGTTGAATGACTATCATTAGTCCTTGGTCCCAGGCCTTGCAAAGAATGGCTGATTTCAGATGAAAGCTGTGGGGAGCTATTCACCAGAGCTGCAAATTCCTGCCAAACGAGTTACAAGCTACACATTGCAAATGGAATGCCAGTTGTCTAGAATTCCCCTCTTCCTCACACGGTTGAATGCTATGCAACAAAGTCTAAATAATTAAAGTGATCTGAAAAAGAAGTACCAAAAAAAATCCCCTCAGTTTGCCTGTAAAAATCCAAACCCCAGAAGGAAAGAACTAATTGTTTTCCAGCTTAAGTCCACCACTGCTGTTGGCTCTTGGGTCAGAGTTTCATTTACAAATGAATGTGGTACCTTTGGAATAGAAGCTGGTGAAATAGTGAACACTGGGCTCCTGCCTGTGCATGATACCCAAGACCCAATTTGCACATCTGGGTATACTGAGGACACTTGAGGGAAAAAAAAAACAGGACTCCGAAGAGTCTTTTCTTGCATCAGACAATATTGGTCACCTGTTTGCTCTGTATTCATCAGGAAAGAAACAATTTCTTTTCCTTAAGCTCACAAACCAAGAAGCTGCCAGGCAGTCGACTGGAACAAACCATCAATCGTTGCTAGGCTGCAACAACTTGAAATTGCAAATAAATCTCTCAGTCTCTCACAGAAACGCTCGTTTCATCCTTTGAATGTTCATCCCCAGCACCGGCCTAGTGCCTGGCTCATCGTTGGTGCTTAATAAATGCTTGATGGTTGACTGATTGATGGACTAGCTCTCTACAAAGGGGAACAGTGGAATTATAGAAAATAAGCTCCTGGTTTTTTTATTAAAAAATGACATCTTAGCTTGCTAGACATAGTGGGAGCATCAAGCCATATGGATGGGTGAATTATGATGGGATATAGATGATGCTGATGCTGATGCTGATGCATCCTGAAGACAATGATGTAAGCAGTCAGACGGGCACGTAATAAGGTCATGACTTTGGGGCTGAAAGGGGCCCTGAAGGCCATTTAGTTCAATCCCCTCATCTTACAGATAAGAGAACCGAGGCATAGACATCACAGGACCAGGATCACGGATGTAGAGTGAGAAGTGAAGAAGCCAGCCTGTCCAACCCCTTCCTTTTGCAGATGTGGAAACTGAGAACCAAAAAGACTGAAAGAACCATAGGACCATAGACTTAGAGCTGGGAGAAGTCCAAGAGGCCGTCTGACTCAACTCCCTCATTGCACAAGTGAGGAAATCAAGGCCCAGGAAGGTGACATAACTTGCCTAATGCCACACAGCTAGTAAGCAGCTGGGCAAGAATTTAAATCCATGTTTTCTGACTACAAATCCCATATTCTTTCTGCCACACCAAGCTGCCCTCCTACATCCCTAAGCTGGGTGAGGATTGGGACTAGACTGGGTCCATGGTACCAAAATCTCTCTTGTCCAGAAATAGGTGAGGACTGGGTAAAGGGGAAATGCTAGTGCAGATAAAGCTCAGCCATGCAGAATGAGGTATTTGGAGAAATTAGCTGGAGACTATCAGTGACAGAAGGTAGTCCAGAAGCTTTAGGTGGGGCAGTTGAGAGAGCACTAGGTTTGGTGTCAAGAAGACCCTAAGTTCAAATCCTGTCTCAGACACTTACTAGCCATGAAGCTTTGGGTACATCATTTAAATTCTTAGCCTCAGTTTCCTGTTCCATAAAAATGGGGACAACAGTACCCACTTCACAGGGCTGTGTGAAAATCAAACGAGATCACATATGTAAAGTGCTATATAAATGTTACCTATTGTTATGATTGTTATTATCATGATTAAAAGTAGGGTTAGATCCAAAGAATTAGAAGGCCTGAGGTAAAGGAAAGCCCATGAGAGACAAGTTGCATGTTTTCAGGCTACAAGAACCCAGTTAAATTAAACAAGCAATATAAATGCAAGCTGTTGCAGTCAGATGCATACAAATTGGAAGCCTGGCCCCATTTGTCCAGATTCTCACTAACTGGGGGATGTCCTCTTTGCTACTGATGCTCTCCTTAGTGTCAATGGAAACTACAAAGCATTAGGCCCAATCCCTGTCAGTAAGCATATGGAACCCTTGCCTCTATTAGCCTCCAAGGAATTGGCAAGGTATTGGATACAATACTTGGGAACTTCCTTGACTCAAAGGACAATGAGGTAGTATGACCTATGAAGCAGAAGAAGCACCAGGCTGTGATTCAGAAGACCTCAGTTCTTGACTCTGGAACAGACACTGAAACTTTGTCGTTGTCATTCAGTCATTTAAGTCAAGTCCAACTTTTTGTGATCCAGCTTGGGGTTTTTCTTGGCACAGACACTGGAGTAGTTTGCCATTTTCATCTTCAACTCATTTTACACACAAGAAAGCTGAGGGAAACAGGGTTTAAGTGATTTGCCCAGAGTCACACAGCTAGTAAGTGTCTGAGGCCAGATGTGAACTCAAGGAGATAAGTCTTCCTAACTACAGGCCAAGCAAATGAAGAAAAGAGGCCCAGCCTCAGCAATTTCTCTGGCTTGCTAGGAGGATTAGGAAAGTGCTTTATAAATGCTAAGGTGCTCTAAGAATAGAAAATGTCATCATTAACCAATGACTAATGCCATGGCAGCCAATGGGCTCTCACCTGCACTTCTCTCCACCGTGGAATCACATCAAGTGACCAAGTCATTTTCAGTGATCTGGGCTACATTTCTAGTTAGCATATCCAATTATGTCATCCCCACTTACTTTGCTCCCTTTTAAGCTAAGGGCTGCTGAGCTAGGAGTCAGCAAGGAACCATATGTCTTGGGGGACTAGTTTTCCTCGCTCTTGAACCCTTTGCAGTCATTTTCCAAATGCCTCAGAGAACAATGAGTTAAGCTGGTGTGACATCTTACCATTGACATGATGCAGATTTTTTTAACCTCTTTTTTTTTTCTGGAAATCTAGTGCATGAACTTTTCACCATCAGGAATAGAAGTGTCTTTTCCTTTTGCCTCTTTAAAATTTGGTCTCAGGACTTGGGTATACTAACCTGAACAAATGAATTAGAAGAGATTCAAATAAAAGGAAATACAAAGATCATCTTAGATTGCCCATCTTTCTTTTTCATGTTAAAAGACAAAAGCATTTTGTTTCTATTCAAGTTCTTTCTTTGAGTAAAACACAGATGATTTCAAAATGTAGGTAGCTTTTAATCCTTTCACACCTCCAAAGGAGTTAACTATTACAGGGTGACATGCTTGAGTAATAAAGAAGAAAAGCAGGATACAAAGGACCAAACATTGGCCTAAGTCAGAGGACCTGGGTTCCAATCCCACCTC